CGCACAAGAGTTTTTCATTTTGATGAAATTCAACTTACCTACTTTTTCCTTTGTTGCCTATGCTTTGGGTGCCATATTTAATAAGTAATTGCCAAATCCAATGTCATGAACATTTCCCCCTATGTTTTCTTCTAAGAGTTTTATAGTTTTAACTCATACGTTTACGTCTTTGATCCATTTTGAGTTAATTTTTGTATATGATGTAAGGTAGGGGTCCAACTTTATTGTTTTGAATGAAGATACCCAGTTTTCACAGAACCATTTGTTGAAAAAACTGTCTTTTCCCCATTGAATGATCTTGGCATTCTTGTCAATCATTGGACCGTATACGCGAGGGTTTATTTCTGGGCTCCCTATTCTATTCCATTGGTCTCTATGTCAATCTTTATGCCAGAACCATACTGTTTTGATTACTGTAGCTTTGTAGCAAATTTTGAAATCAGGAACTGTGAGCCCTCCAACTTTTCTTCTGTTTCAAGATTGTTTTGGCTATTCAGGGTCCCTTGAGATTCCGTATGAATCTTAGGATGGGTTTTTCTATTTCCACAAAAAATATATTTGGAGTTTTGATAAGAAATGCTTTGAATGTGTACATCACTTTGGGTAGTACTGATATCTTAACAATATTAAGTCTTCTAGCCTGTGCACATGCAATGTCTTTACATTTGTGTCTTCTTTAATTTCTTTCAGCAATGTTTTATAGTTTTTAGTGTATAAGTCTTCTGTGCCCTTGGTTCAGTTTATTCCTAAGTATTTTATTCTTTTTGACAATATTGCAAATGGAATTGTTTTCTTAATTTCCTTTGTTTATTATCCATTGTTAGTGTATAGAAACACAACTGATTTTTGTGTGTTGATTTTGTATCCTGAAACATGGCGAATTCAGTTATTAGTTCTCACCGTTTTGGGGGGAATCTTTCAGAGCCTCCACTTTTTAACTGTCTTCATATATTGTACCTTCAAGAAAGATTTCTTTTACTCAAGTGTACTGCAGCCTCCACTCATCCAAAAACTAGTTTAGAAATATCCACCTAGATGATCTATCACTACTTACAGTTCCAACATTCCATTTGTAAAACTCCTACTCAGCAAGATATTTTCCCTGTTCACTTTCTTCAATTAAAAAAAAAAGATCGTGTTCACCTGCACTTTTTCAATGGCTTAATGGCAGTCTCAGTTGGCACTCTTTCTCTCAGATCACTGTCATCCTGCTGGAACATGAAGTTGCCCACCGCACTGGCCAATGTGTTATAAATTGGGAACAACTTAAATGTATATCAACAGAGGCCTGGCTGAATAAACTATGGCGAATCCATTCCATAGACTACACTGCAGACATTGAAAACAATGTCATGGATTTCTGTGTGCTGATGTACAAAGATGGCCATATATATTAATGAATGAGAAAGTAAGTTTGGATGACAATGTATATAAAATAATCCCATTTTTGTTATACTGGAAAATATTTTTATGTTGAAATATCTGGAAGGATACACAAGATATAACAAGGACCCCTCTAGAGAGTAGAATTGGAGGGGATGGGATTCAGCTTGTGCTTTTCACTCTATGTCCTCTATACATTTGATATTTTTCATGAGCTATTAAGTTTTATGGCATGCTAAATATAGCCCATGAATATATTTTCAGTGTAAACCAGAAAATACAGCCAGCTAAATGTTAGAGGGGGCCTCTGATGTTTTTGTTCATAACTCGTATAGCTAAAAAACGTAAAAATCACAGCAACTGAGATGTTTGTTTCACTGGGGTGCGCAGAACTTAGAAAGTGATTTGCAAAAGCAGATTGTGCCCGTAGAGAAACAAATATGTGAAAACTAGGATGAGTTGAATTTTATAAGTCAAATAAGGAACCTTCAACAAATATGGAAGTAAACACAACAGAGACCTACCTCCAAAGGAAACATACACACACACATACACAGAGCAGGTGTCAGGTTAATGTAGACATAGACTCTTTCACTGGGGTACAGAATCTCTCCCCTTTCCCCCTAGTGAACAAAATGGAAGCCGCATGGTCTCATAGGACCTCAACTCGGAATTCATACAGCATCACTTCCGCTGTACTCAATTAGCAGCCGGCTCAAGCCTGCTGAGACTCAAGGGCAGGGGACATAGACCCCACATCTTGATCTTAGGTGTATGAGTTTCCTATTGTTGTTGTAACAAATGACCACAAATTTAGTGGCTTAAAACAACACAGATTTATTGTAATATAGTTCTGAAAGGCAGAGGTCTAAAATCAAGTTGCCTGCTGGGCCAAGTTCCTGCTGGAGGCTGGAGGGGAGAAAATATTTCTTCGCCCTTTTCAGCTTCCCGAGGACACCTGCATTGCGTGGTTCATGGCCTCTTCTTGGCATTACTCCAACCTCTTGCATCTGTCATCACATCTCCTACTATTCACTCTGATCCTCTTGCCTCCCTCTCATGAGGTCTCTTGTGACTACATTGGACCCACCTGGATAATCCAGCAAACTCTCTCCATCTGAAGATCCTTAACACATACAAAGTCCCTTTCGTGATGTAAGGTACCATATTAACAGGTTCTGGGGATTAGGGCTTGGAGATCTTTGGGGAGGGCATTTTTTAATGCCTGCCACAGGTCCATAGGAAAGCATTTGCAGCAGTGTTTTAAAAGCGCCACAACAAATAAAGAAACCAAGATATGGAGGCTTGTCAACGTCATCTATCTGGTAAACCTCTGGCAGACTTCTCAATGCTAATGTCACCAGCTCTCAGCTTGAAAGGAGAAGACTTGTAACAAGAATCATAGACTTCCTTCACTCTTTCTTCTTACCTTGGTGTATTGGGAGGACTCTTTAGCACATGAGGGATACCCTGAGAGTTACATCTTAAGAGAAGGAACTCTAGGCCACCCAGGGTGAATTGAAGTGTCTCAGGAGATGTGGCAGTGGAGGTATTCCCCCTGCCACCACAGATTAAGATGAGGAGCCTCCTGTCCTTCACTGCTTGCCTTCTACACTCTCTCCTTTTTAGGAAGGGAACCTAGTTGGGAAGAGATGGCTAAAGGAAGAATTACTATAAAATGCAATGCCAATTAGACTAAAAAGGCCTCTCTCAGGGCCAAGTGGTGTGGTCTGACCTTCTTGAAAGGGACTCCACCTTAGTTTTGTTTAACATCATCTCCAGTAATTCATATGTTCCTATTCTTGTGTTGGGTATTACAGACACTGAGGAAAGATAAATCTTTAAAATATATCAATGTTTGTAATAGTTTATTATTCAAGATCATTAACACCTTAATAATGTGGACCTGGCCTGTGCTAGACCTCTGAGAAGTCCTGTCTGACAGCAAAAACTGGAATGGAATCCACCCCCCACCCCCAATCCCAGTTGTTACCATCTGATAATTGGGGTTGAGTAAACTCAGCACAGATGCTAAAGAGAAGCTAAGAGATGAGCTCTTAACCCATTCTGTTCCACGTGTGTCACAGAGGACTAGAGGACAGGAAGGAGAGAGCCAAGCCTCAGGCTTAAAGATGAACTTTGATTATGAGATTATTCAGCTCATATCACTAAGGTTAGAAATGAGACAGGGTTTCAGGAGGAAAGATCATGCAGTTTCCTGCAGGTGACCGAGACTGTTTCTCTTCCGAACGTCACAGTGACTGCAGGTGCAAGAGGGCAAAGTGTAACATCTCCTCCCCCACCTGATGGTGAGCCACTTGGGGGCTGAGTCACCCATATGTTACCTTGATTTTGGCCTAGACAACCTCCTCAGCATGCTGTGAAACAATCCCTGCTGATTCAAGAGGGCCTGTTGCAGAAACCTCAGAGTGCCCACTGCAGCTCCTCTCTGTTTTCAGGAGGACAGACCACGATGGAATCCCGAGAGAGAGCTTTCTCAGCTTGGTGTGGAGAGGCCAGGTCTCTCCTAGGTCCTTCAGCTTCCTGCTTTCACTGCCAGCCTCGATAGCTGGGCAGCTATTGACAATTGCTATATAACATCCATAAAATGAGTCCAAAAAACCTCTTAAGAAGGGAATGGAGAGTACAAGAATGCAGGCATTCAGAATGGGGAGCAAGGCAATCCACTCTGTGTCACTGCCCCTTCATGAGCAACAGGGATATTTCTGATGCCACAAAAGTCATTGAGTCCCCAGATTATACTGTAGATATGTGTGAGCCCTACAAATGGAACCCTTCTTCTCTATGCTCTTAGGACATAAGGCTTCAAGAAAATCTAAATGAACTTCAAAGCAGAAACAGAATGAACCTTATTTATTAATGAATATGCATTATAACCAAAAACTGACAGGAAAATATCGACATTGTCCAACTCTTGGGGCAGAGAGGAAATAAAATGAAAACTGCAATAACAAACAATTGCAAAATCATAAATAAAAGCATTGTATAAGATTTGTGGAATATGACCAAAGCTAGACTTAAAGTTCACAGCCTTCAATGCTTTCATCATTTCAAGAAACACATAAAGAAAATACCATATTTATTGGAAGGGCCTCCATGCTAATACAGTCCATTCACTCTTGCTAGCCCTTGTGTGGCGGGTACTGTTCTCTGCCCTTCATAGTACTTTGAGTTGGACATCTTCTTCCTTGCCCATATCTTTTTGAAATGCTCCACATTTCAAAAATGGACTGTGTTAAAGGCTCAAACGATGCATAAAAATATCAATGACTGCACAGGAGACAGTGATTCTGACACATGGTGTAAACGGGAGTCAAGGGAAGTGCTCCCTGTCCCCGTTAAGGCAGCATCTGCACGGTGCTCCAACAACTAGTCAGTGGGAACGAAACAGGAAGAGCATATCCATTTCCCCGGGAATACAATGTTGCATAGATACGGGTCAACTGGGCACATCCCTGTTGACTGAGATACTGACCCAAGATCTGAAAGGAAGGCCGACATACATACGTGTCTTACTTACACCTATGCTGCGGTCTGCCTGAGACAAAGACATTTTCATCGTAATGATTAAACAAGATTTGCTGAGGCAGAAAAAAATCAAATCTAGGATAATGGCAAGAGTCGGTGAACACTCTAGAATTTACATGCCTTGGAAGATGGGTTTTAAACACAGCAAAACACAAAGCTGTTCTAATGAACGAGCTCAAACAAAACTCTTCTTCCCAGACAGCCCAGTGCAGGTGGAGGCTTTTAGGAATTAGTGTCAGTGTGTGTAGGAGCAGTTTCCCTCAACAAATTCTCAGAGAACTCTCAAGTGAGCAGCTTGGTGCATCTGAAGGCCTGCTTTCTTTATGAACCTTGGAGAACAATGACTACTTCTATGGCTTCTCCTTTGCATGGATTCTTAAATGAAAAATAAGGCTTGATCTCTGCCTATAGCTTTTCCCACAATACTCGCATATAAACGGTCTCTCTTCAGTGTGTGTTCTCTGGTGCAAAGTAAGATCTGTCTGTCGACTAAAACTCTTCCCACAACTGTGACATCTATGGGGTTTTCCATCTGTGTGGGTTTTCAGGTGTCTTATAAAACTTGTTCTATTACAGAAACTCTTCCTACACTCGGGGCATCGGTATGTTTCTTGTTCAGAATAGGCTTTCTGGTGCAATTTAAGGTGTGATCCCTGAGTGAAGCGCTTGTTACACACGGTGCATTCATAGGGTGTCTCCCCTGTGTGAATTCGCTGATGCCTGGAGAGGTCTGATCGACGGAGGAACCCTTTCCCACATTCAAGGCACTTGTGAGGGAGCTCTCCCAAATGAATTTTCAGGTGCCCATTGAGTAGCTTCTTGCTAGCAAAACCTTTCCCACAGTGCACACATCGGTGTGGTTTCTCTCCAGGACCGTTTTGTTCATGGGCCCTGGGGCTGAGAGGGTTGTCCTGGTGGGAGCTCTCAGCCGTCTCTCCTAGAGCGGGGTTCTGATCACGGACAGGCTTTGTGCCCTCTCTGGGTAGATGCTCTGCAGGGTTTCCCAAGTGACGTTTTAGCTGTTCAGAGTATTTGGGTAAATTGGGACCAAGAAGTGCATTTCCATCTAAAGAAACAGAAAATGGATACACACTCTACAGTTGTTACTGCTTTGACATATTTTCTCTCCCCATCCCAAACTTGAGAGAAGGACTAGAAATTGCAGATGTCACTGAATGGAGAAATAGGGACTAAAAAGAGTTACACTCAACAGCTAGTGGGAAGATAGAAACTCCCAGGGGGGCATCCCAAACCTCTGTACCCTGGGGTTGAGGTGAATTTTTCTTTTCTTTCTTCCCAAGCATACAAAGAACCCTCACCTACCTATCTTGGAGTCAAGTAATTGTTGCTTCACTTCCTTGGGATCCTGCAGCTCCTTCACCTGTGGCTCTGGTCTCTGCTCCACTGGGCACCTCTGGTCAGGCTTTGGTCGTGGGTATCCTGGCCATGGGAGAGATGGGGAGAAGGGCAGTTTGAGTCGCCACAGGTTTCTTTCTCCAGAGTCCAGGTGGCCTTCTTGGTCACGTGGCCTCTCGATACCTGCATACTTCCTTCTCAGTCAGCATTGCCCCTCCAGGAGCCTTCTGACAAGTTGTTTTTGTTTTGTTTTGTTTTGTTTTTTAGGACAAGAACAAAACCAAATGAGGGCAGGGGAAGATCCTAGTGTGCTCAGTTCAAGGCTATTCTCCTCCAATCTGTGGAAGGAGAGTGAATCAATTCTGGGGTGAAATCAATGCACTGAGGAGCTCCACATCTGTTCTGAGAATGGAGTTATTCAGGTGAGAGTCAGGACATAAGTCCATCTTCTTACAGTGCTAGCATATGAAAACTGAGAAACACTTTCTTATTGACCACGAGGTGGACAAACAGAGAGGCCCCAGTGGGAGTTATGAAACTGCTCACTGGAATAATTTCAGTTGAACATAATCAAATTAAAATGGTAATGAAATTAGGTTGGCAACAAGCAAAAATAATCTCTATGCTTTTTCAGCTGACATCTAGAAGTGGATTCTCTTTAAATTAACCCAAATAGCCATCCAACAGTCAATCTAAGGACAACCAGGAGAAGTTTCTGCACTCCCTGTCCCCCTAAGTCCTATCACCCCTCTTCTCACTAAGAACCGCTGCAATTTGCATCCACTTTCCAGGCCCCTTCCTAGGCTTCCTCAGCTCTGGCCAAGTTTATGGGTCTGCCAGAAAATGTGGGTTGGAAATGGCTCATTTGAGATTGAAATACAGGATGATGTTTAAATATTGGCATTAGTAAAATGACATTAGCAAGTTAGTTTGGCTAATGTTAATCCAAAGGAAAACTGAAATTTCAGAACATTATATCAAGGCATAGGAAGTCGACTAAAAGATCTTATTTCATATTTTTATGGAGAAAAGGCCATATATTTTCAGATGAAGAGAATTTAAAAAGCTGTTTAAACTCCCATTTTGTTTATGCTTGGGTTTCAAAGCTAAGGTTGGGATGAGGGGGTAATGAGACCCAGGTCAAATAAACTGGAGGCCCTGGATCAAAGGAAAGCTGCTGTCAAGTTCAAGGGGAGCTAAGTGAAGGGTAGGGGATGGAGAGTGGCACAGTCTTAGGGTGGCAGAACCCTGGAGGCCCAGGACATCCCCACAAGAGAGACATGAAAAGCAGTCCAGAATGGCAGGAAGTGTTCATATGGCAGTTCCCATTCCATATGTAGACCATGGACTGGAAGGCTGTACATTTCTTCATGGGTCACTTTGAAACCACCTCAGACACCTGCCCCTTGGGTAGAAGGGAGCTAAAGATGTGACTAGTCAGGGATTGAGAGCAGCCCTGGAGGCAGAATCCAGCACGCATGAGAACTAAGGCCAAGAGTATCGCTACCAGGCCCCTGTGCCTCATGCACTTGCCGTCAGTCCACCTGCTCCTTTCTGTGCAGCACCAAAGCAGAGGCCTGAGAACTTTCACCTCAGTTCCTCGTCCTGGCATAGTACCCCTTGGTGCCTGCTTTCAAAGAGGCTGGCCCAACCTTGAGCTTCCTCCTGGATGTTAACCTCATGCACTTCCTAACTATCTACCCCCCCACACACTCCATCACCCTGTGTGACACTCAGATCCTTGTCCTCAGTGCACTTAGCCTCTGCTTCCTGGACTCTAAAAGCCCTGCTTCTGACACCATCACCAGTTTGCATCCCCCATCCTATGCTCACAGCCCATGTCAGCTAAGGCCTCTCACCATTTCCCTTCGTCCCATCTCCCACCCTTCTGACCTCAGTTCCCATCTCTACTCTCATACATTCCATAGAACAGCATCAGGAATGCTGAATGAACTTGACACTTATGAAAAAAGGTCTTCACAGATATCAGCCCTCCTTCTGTCTGCCAACATGGGGAAAACAGCCAGGGCGCTCATCATAAGGCAAGGCTTAAACCATTTGAAGGTACACAGAGTGAGTGAAGGCCAGCAGAAACTAGCACTTTCATGCGCTGTGGTGGGAGGGTAAATTGGTACAATAATTTTGGAGGACATTGGACCACATCTATTAAAGTTTTAAATGCATGTGCCCACTAACCAGTCATTTCTATTCTAGAAATTTGTCCTGTCGACACATGCCCGCAGAAGGATGCTCACTGTGTGTTTTATAGCTTGGCTCTAGGGTTTTTGGTCAACGCTGAATGGCAGTCAGAAGTCTTGCCTCTATGCCTGCTTCTCTCTCGGGACTCTTCTTCTCTGTACTCTCAACACCAGCCAGTCTGTGTTGCCACAGTAACCACCGGAGAGGTTGTTCTACAAATGAGCCGGAGGGTATGAACGAGCCTTCTTTGTATTGGCCCCTAGGTTGTCCATTCCTTCACCACAGGCTGCGACTCCTTAGCTCAGAAGCCGGCCAGTGCCAAACTCAAATTCTCACACATCCCATTATTTAAAAATTACCCCCCAGAAGCAGATTTTTGACCATTTAGAGCCCGCCTGCTTTGCATACCCCAGAAAACCTCACCCCACACCTGCTAGCCATTGAAGATGGAGCCTTGTGGTTATATGTCCCCCAACCACTGCTGCCCTGTGGACTTATCTGACCCATAGACTCTCTGTTGTGCTACTGGGCAGTGACATCACCTAGATGGGTAAGCCGCCTCTCTGAATCCTCACTCCCTGGGGAGTTCCCTTGTCCTCTCCCACTTTTGACCCCTGACTTCCCCTACAAGCAAACCTGACGATGAGTTGCCCAACAAAACTTGTACGTGCTACTGCCACCTCCTGGTCATATCTTTTTCATTGGTCAGCCCCCAGACACCTCAGACCCTCTACAAGTGGTAAGGAGGATGGGATTTGGGTGACTAGGAGGTAGGCATGGGACCCTCCAGTCAGTAGGACAAAGCATATTATATCACTTTAAACAGTGATGAGAAAGGGGTAGTTTCCTCTCCTCCTATTTGGAATACTTTTCTTGTTTAATTCATTCTCTCTCTCCCTTGTTAAATACACTGGACTTTCCTGGGCTTCAGAGAGTAAAGTATTACAACCAAGAGCAATATGGCTGCTCGGCATCGTATGTGATCATTGTACCTGGCACTGTTGCCAAGAGGAGCAAGTGAACACAGGAAATGGCAATGCATATGCAGAAGATTTAGAATTAACGTGACTGGCTGGGTTCTGCCACTTGTTGCAGGCATACACACAAAAATAAATTTTCAAAAACTTGTTAACACTCAGAGATTTAGGTAAGGTAAAGATTGGTATATGGGGCTGGTCCCAGCTGAGAGGTTCAAGTTCCATATGCTCTGCTTCAGCGGCCCAGGTTCACAGGTTTGGATCCTGGGCACGGACCTACTCCACTCATCAGCTATGCTGTGGAGGCATAGAGGGAAATTGGTGCAGATGTTAGCTCAGGGCTAATCTTCCTTAAGCAAAAAAAAACGGAAGATTGCCAATGGGTGTTAGCTCAGGGCAAATCTTCCTCACCAAAAATAAAAAATAAATTAAAAAATCAAAAAAAGATTGGTATATAAATGACATTATTTTACATAGTTCCAATTTGACCACTGCAGATACACCGTATGTACTTATGGGTTTTTCCTCTTTGTCACCTCTGTTAAAACCAAGACAGAGTTCATGTCTTTTACATGCCCAGCACTCGCTAGAGTAAGCTACAAAATATGGTACCTGGACAAATTGACTAAATGCAGAAAGGGGGACAAATTCATCACCAAACACCCACACTGGAACAATATCAGTTGAATTCTATGGGGTGGTGGCATTGCACAGATAAGATATGGTCCTATTGTTGGTCTGGAAGGGACCAAGCCATTCTCTGCAAGGAGAGGTGGAGACTCACGCGTGTCCTTCACAGCCAGCCAGACACCTGGAGATGAGATTGTGCTCAGAATGGAAACCAGAAGAAATGAAAAAAAACAGCAATAGGTAAGCACCAGAGCTAGAATATCTATTGGCTTCAAGATCAAATGGGTCGAAGTGTCTAGGGTATCTGTTCTCATCTGGCTAGAGAGAACACTGGAAAGCAAGGAACCCAGGTAAGGTAACTGAAAGTTTGACAATCTTTGAATTCATATAGAATGATCTTTTCAGACCCCAGGGTCTGCCCAGAGGACCTTGTGCTTTCCCATACTATATAATCCCGGAAAAACCTCAAAAATTCCATGACCTTCTCTAAACCTCTGGCTTGCACATCTCTATCTCAAACCCTGACCTCTCTTCTGAGCTCCCATTCCACACTGGCCATTTCTACCTGGAGACCCATAGGCATCTCAAATTCCTCATGTTCAAATCTAAACTCACTATGACCCACCAAATCTGATCCTCTTTTTGTGTTGTCTATGTCAGCGACAAACATTGCCATCTACTCGGCTCACTGGCCAGAAACCTAGATACCATTCTTAACACTTTCTTCTTCATCACCCAATGCCCAGTCAATCACCAAGTCCTATATTTTACACAGGTAAATATCTTTTGAATAAGTCCCTTTTTTCCACTCCATCATCACCAACATGACCCTAGTTTAGAAAATCATCGTTTATCACCTAATGATTGCACAACCTCCCAAACGGTGTCCCTGCTTCCAGTCCTACCCATTCCTATTGGAGCCAGAGTGGTCAGGTAAAATGCAATTCTGTGTATATCACTCCCCTACTTAAGAACATCCAGTGGTCCCCCACTGCCCTGACAATAAAGCACAACTTCTCAGCAAGGCTGACAAAGTTCTTCAGGATCCAGGCCCCTGCTTCTCTCTCCAACCTCTTTGAGGCTGGCTCCTCTGGCCACTCTGGCTCCTCTGCTCCTCCTCTGCACCCCTCACACTGCAGCAGGAGCTCTTCATATATGCCAAGCTCTCTATCCCTCCGAGCCTTTGCACATGCCGTCCATTCTGCCCAGAGCCCTCTCCCCTCCCCACTTCCAGCACTCAGCAGGCTTACTCCAATTCATCCTGTAGGTTTCAACGCAGATCCCCCTTCCTCTCTCAGGACGTCTTCCCTCTCTGCCAAAAGCTGGTTAGCTGGCCCTCCTCTGGGCTCTGATAGCATCCTACTCCCTCCAACATATCGTTTCACAGTCCTATTTACATCGCATATGGTATCTACAGTCCTATTTACATATGTGAATGGTCCACAGGAGTTGAAGATCCAGGACACCTGGGACTGATCTTCTGCCTGTGTCCTGCTGGATCCCCAGGGCCTGGCACAGTGCCTGGCTCTTAATAGGTGCTCGTGTATATTGGTTGAATGAATGAATGTTAGGATGTGGAAAGGGACAGGGTTGCTAAGTCCTGGCACTGAGCTAGTTAGAGATCGACCAGGCATCTATAGTTTGTAACTTGGACTGTTCTCGATATGTTCATGTTTTATGTCTCTTTTGTTTTCTCAGTGTCTTGAAAGTACCAACATGTCGAAGCTGTGCCTGAGAGAGTTAGGACAGAGGTTCTGGCCACCCTCGGGCCAAAGCTTTAATGGGCGGGGATGGGGGGGGAGTGCTGGGAGGGTGTTGGGTAGAGACATGGATCGTTGGTGGCAACATAAGAATATCCCCAAAGGAGGTGAAACAGAGGAACACAACAGCTACGCGGCCCACCTGGACTTTTATCCTTCTAGTAGTAACCCCTGTAGTGTCCGGTGCAGTGGTTCTCAAACTTCAGTATGTACAGCACTCACCTGGAGAGCTTGTTAAAAATGCACCCCAGGGGGGCCGGCCTGGTGCGCTCCACTGTGGCAGCCTGAGAGTTTGCAGGTTCAGATCCCGGGCGCACACGGACGCACTGCTTGTAAAGCCGTGCTGTGGCGGCGTCCCATATAAAGTAGAGGAAGATGGACACGGATGTAGCCCAGGGCCAGTCTTCCTCAGCAAAAAGAGGAGGACTGTCATCGGTTGTTAGCACAGGGCTAATCTTCCTCACAAAAAAAAAAAAAAACAATGTACCCCAGGTGATCCTGATAGGGACAATCTGCTCACTACACCTGGAGAAACACTACTCTAGGTTTTGATCAAATGAAATAGGTATTGCCTTTATACTGTGGTAATCAAATCCTCTGAAAGGATCTGAGGTGAGGATATTAATAAACATCAACTTTGAATGAGAGTCTTATGCCATAAAAGCAACTGAGGCTCTTGGGCCCCACAGCATCACAGATCCGTTGATTAAAACTGCTGGGGAAATCAGTCCTTATCCAGAGTATCCAAACTCCATAGTTTTCCTGTATAACAGTCTTGGTCAAGTCTCCCGAGCAGGGTCATTAGCAGAGGGGGGTTTTAATCCTGTTCTATCTAGCGTGCTTTGTTTCTGCCATTCCCAGAGAGACAGTCCCTCCTCCCACTCTTTGTCAGACTGGTCCGTTTCCATTAGGTAATCGGTGTTTCTAACCCAACCTCAACCCTGGAGAGCTCTTGAGCTCTCAAAGCAGAAAGCAGAGAAAGGAAACAAAGCCCTTGCCTTACCAGGGTCCAGGAAGGGCTGGCACTCCCCAGCAGCACCGTAGCTCAGCTCCTGCGGCCCTGGCTGTGGGATCCATGCCTCTGCCACTGGGGCCTCGGGGGCAGGTCCCATGACTTGGAGTGGGGGTGACTCCAGGTGGATGTCTGGTGGCATGTGTGCTGTCCCCACTGGTGCCAGTTCTTCCAAGAGCATTTCCTGCCTGTCGATCTGGGGAAATGCCAGAACCATCACTCTCAAGTCTAGACCAGCACTGCCCAGCAGCAATATAATGCGAGCCACCCATCTCATTTTAAATTTTCTGGTGGCCATACAAAAAAAAAGAAATAGGTGAAGTCAATCTTAATAATATGCATTATTTAACCCAATATATCTAATATGTCATAATTTCAGAATATAATCAATATTAATCACATATTTAACCCACTTTTTTCATATGCAGTCTTCTGAATGTGGCGTGCATTATAAAAAAGTATAAACTTGCAGCACATCTCCATTTGGACTAGCCACATTTCTAGTGTTCAAGAGCCACACTTGGCTGGTGGCTTCTGTACTGGGCAGTGCACGATTAGACCATACAAAGATGAAATCTTATATAGTAAGCCAAACAAGAAGACAAAGAAAGGAAGGGAAACCGTAAATTCATTCCATCCTAGGGAGACAGGAAACTTTGGAAGAGTCCTGTTCAGGCAGGCTAACTGCAGAGCCCCATCAGCACACGACACTGCAGAGCCCCTAACGCCCAACCAGAAGCCCTTCCTCCCTTCTCCCAAAGATCTGCCCTGGGCTCAGCCCCAAAGAGGTTTCACTCGGTGGTTCTGAACAGAGGGCAGTGCCACTGTCCCCATGGGGTGCTTTGGATATGATGGCATGTGGTGGCTATCAGAATTTAGTGGGCAGAGATGGGAGTACATACAATTAATAGTGCAGAATTGTTCCACCTTCCAAGCAATTTTGGAATGTCCCCCTCATACATTTAAGTAAGTAAAAAGAACCCGTCAAGAACTTACAACCTCATCTTGTAGGTCATATAAAAACAAAGTATTTTTCCATATTTTAGCATGACTTGAATTTTCTAGGAAAGCACTACTTTGGAAATCAAAGAAAGACTATACTATCTACTGTTCAGATTTAACCAAGACTTGGTTGTCACTTTGGAAGATCATAGGACCAGCAGCAACACTGCTCACAGTGTCTGAGCTGCGTCAGCGTGACTTTCCGGCTGTGGCCTTCACGGGGAGTCTATGCAGAGGCGACCCTCGGACAACTTCATGAGGTTCTCTGGTGCGGTCCAGCCCAACATGTGCGTGCTGAGATGCTTATTAGTTTATACTAAACCACATTCCTTTTCCTTTATATCCCTTCTAGACTCTACTTGACTTAGGGCTGGCAAACGTTTTTGTAAAGAGCCAGAGAGTAAATATTTAAGGCTTTGTGAGCCACATTCGGTATCTCATTTATTCTCCTTCTTCCTCTTTTTTTTTTAAATGACCTCTTAGTAGGTAAAAAAAACATTATTAGCTCATGGGGTGTACAAAAACCGGCCGTGGCTGGATCTGACCTGCAGACCCTAGAGGATAACACTGGTGTTTTTGATGGATGAATGTCAGTAGCTTATGTTACTTATGAATTTCCTTTAAGTACATTTAAGGAGACATTACACAATATTTGTTATACAAGGGGATTGGGTATGATAAGGATGAGAACCACTGACCCATACATGCTGATTCCAGGAGAAGAGAAAAATGAAAAGGCCCATGGAGAAATCTTAGAGCTGAAGAATGACACGGAGACAAACCCTGGTCTAGGCCCAGCTGCCTCTGCTTCTTCTTTTGGTCTAATTACCAAGATCCCAAACTCTTTTCTCACCTGCTGCTCTGGTATCTCAGATTCTGTCTGTAAGAATTCTATCAGTGCCAAAATTATTTCTCTATTTTGTAGGCCGAATGGCCTCACCCAGGTCTCTATCTCCGTGGGCAGAATGGTTAGGAATTGCTCCAACACTAGCAGCTCCAGGATTTGTTCCTTAGAACGCATCTTTGGCTTCAGCCACTGACAGCAGAGCTCCCAGAGTTTGTTGAAAGCTTCATGAGGCCCGGCCGCTTCTTTGTACTGAAACTGTCTGAAGCGCTGGCGGAAGACTTCACAGTCGGTACCATGTTCTTGAAACACTGAGCCTTGATTCAAGGAGGCCTGGATTGCACACCCCAGGGCCACAGCCATCGCCCCCTTCCAGCAGTGTACAATGTGTCTGGGCCTGAAGTCTCAGATCCCAATTGGTTTTTTTGTGTAATTGTGGGGCGGGGAGCCACCTACAGCTGAGGACAGGACCAAATGAGAGAGGAGAAACACAGTGGTTACCAGAGGGCATACTTAGGCTTTCTTAATTGGTTACTTTTCACCAAAGCCCTAAAGTAGCAGATTGTAAATTTTTCGGTGGTTTTGAGAATCTGATAAAAGCCATGAACTCACTTCCTAGAAAAACCAAAAGGTTTATAAAATGTCCAAGCGCATTCACAGGCCCTCTAGAACTGTGCTGTCCAATATGGTAGCCACTACACCCATGTGGACATTTAAGTCAGAATTAAAATAAAAATTGCAGCTCCCAGCCACATTTCAAGTCCTCAATAGACATTGTTGCTCAATAGACTTCTACAGCTCTGCTCTAGAATTCCACCAACCAAGGCTAAGAACCCCCGCCCTGAAGGAGAACCCACCATGCCCTGCAGGCCTGTAACCGCACTCCCAGTCTAAGACGGGCTGTCTCGTGTTTCTGAATACAGGGAGGCCACAAAAGAAGTGGAGGAGCCATACGTATAACACTGGTGAATAACCCCGGAAGCCCATCTAGCTTTGAGGAACCCTTAGTCTCCTGCAACCACAGCATCTCAGCTAGAGCCATGCCTTGCAAAGGCAGGAAATCCTCAACCCCCCATTCTTCTCCACTCGAGGTGTGTGTGGTTCAGCCAACATCACCGTGTCCCTCATCCCGCTGTAGCCTTCCAACTGGCTTTCTCATGAGAAAAATACACTGCAGCGGGGCAGGCCATCATGACCCTGGTCTGCATTAGTAACGAACGACATTTCTCACATCCATCACGCTGTGAGCCAGGAGCTGTTCCAAGCCTCCCACGTATATTAGTTCACTGAGCCCTCCGCCAGGGTTAGGAGGAGGGTACTAGCACTATGCCCTGAATACAGACGAGGGGACTGAGGTTTGAGGCTGAGGAGGACTGAATAACTAGTCCCAGGTCACATAGCAAGTGCCACAGGAAGTGGTGATAGACTCCACAGATTCCTGCCATGCTCATGTCTGCAAACATCCAAGCGTTCCTAGTGCAGTCTCTGAGGTCACAGAGGCGGTCACATACATGTCTCCACAAGTCTCAAGACCAAGACCCGCCCACGCCCTATGGGTCCTCTCTCCCCGTATTTGCCGACATGGCTCACGTACCTGTCCTCTGTCCTGGAGGGGATCAAGAAAAGAGTACTCAGGACTCTTCCCACCAAGTCATCCCAAATGGACACTGTTCCCATATCACCCTTTATTTCGATGGCAGCCTGGACTTGAGCGGCAGACCCATGGAGGTGTGACAACCTGCTAGCTGTGTGACCCTGCCACCCAGGGCTTCTGTCTGTAACATGAGAATAATCATAGCATCTATTTCACCAAATTTCCTGCGGTGGATCAGTCGCATGGAAAGCGGACAGCAGCGTGCCCGGCACAGAGGAAGCGCTCAAGCAAGGTGATTGCTCCTGAGGACTCATTCCTGGGAAGCTTCTCTTTCCCCCGCCCAGGCACCTGACCGTGGCTGGAGGGCATCCAGGAACAGTGCCGGTTTGGGCTGTGGACCCACCGTTAACCCCTCCAGCCTCACAGCTGGGCAGCCCTCCCCTGCCTGACCCAAACCTTCCACCAGCTCTACCGGGGAATCGACCTGATCCTCCGGGTCTCCCTCCAGATGAAAACCTCACTCCACCTCGGGGCTGAGGGCTTCTCCCCAAACCCTCCTGAATGAAGC